TATTATTATTGTTGTTGTTGTTGTTTATCCCAGTCAAATGGTAGCTGGCTACATTAACAATCTTGAGTGCTGACAGTCACATAACGTTTATTTCCACAATCTGTCCAAAGTGCTAAAGCTTCTTCTGAAGAAGCATCTGGGATGAGAGGTGAAAGTCCAGTTGACAACCTTCACACTTTGGAAATACCACGACCTGCATCCACAGATGGGCAAACCTGACACAGATGCTGCAGGTTTATTATTTTTGCTCATTGTCATGTTTCAATTTAGTTTTTGGGTTTTTTTTTTGTTTTTTTTTTACTTTTGCATGAAAAACAAAATCAAATCATCCCTAAGCTTGAAAAAATAAGTTGAGGTTATATTTTTTGTCCATAAAGCCAAATATTAACTGAAATATTAAAGATACTAAAGTAAAAAAAATTTGAATCTGTGTCTTCAAGGGGGGGCACATATAATCACATATGAGTCACTAAAAATCTGTTGCCATTTTAGTTTAGATTGTGCATCAGTGGTACATATTACCAACAAATGTGCAATAGAAGTCATTGCTATAAAGTCACTGCCACACAGTTATTCTGGGACCTTTGGAGTCCTGAGGGTTGGGGGTGGTTGTCCACTTGGTAAATGCTGCCAACAGGAAAGTCAGTAGATAAAATGAGCTCACCCTTGATCAAGCCACTACATTCAGCTGTTGCTTACGTGTCATTATATATGAGATTACTAATTAATGACTTGCTGAGTCATTAATTACATGTTTTGGTCATGGTACCATGTACTTCTTACTTGAGTAAGACTTTGAATGCTGGACTTTTACTTGTGGTATTTTTGCATTGTAGTATTTCTACTTTTAGCCAATGAAATACATCTTCCACTACTGATACATTTAAGGTAAATATTGTTAGCTGGAGGATTGGTTATTCTTCTGTAGATGTGTTTAACCTTCTGTTGGGGTCTTTATGTACAGTAGGAGGTCTGTACTCTGGTGAAAGGATTTATTTCCATTATGAGCCCCTGCCTGGTTGCAGACAACATACTGAGGCTGGAGGCATCTGTTGCTGTGTGAGTGACAGGCACAGGTGGGAGTTACCCAGTTGTTCCCAGGCATCGACATAGTGGGTCTGTGACACTGCGTACATTGTTTAGGAGTGTGTGGATGACACAGAGTTTTCCTGCTGTGTAAAATGTCCATTTAGTGCCTTTTTCAGCTGTCAAACCTGTTTTTTGTTTGAAGGAGTCAAGAGACCAAGACAGAAACAAGACTGTTCTGCTTGTCCTAAGTATAGCTGCCCTTTTTGTGGAAAATTATTTGCATCTATAAACAGGACAAAGTACGGCAGATCACTCTTTTAGAGTTTGCTGATTTTACAAATGCTAAATCTCATTTAGGGCTTTGGGGCTCAAAAGTTGCCTTAAGCTTCACAAGATCATTTGCCCTAGATGGAAACATTCCAAAACAGATGTTATGTAAACTGACATCACAAAATTGCGCAAAGTGTATTCTTGCCCAGCAACCCAGCGGCTAAAAGGTTAGTAAAGGCCATCAAATATAACAGAAAGGTTAAATGCGTAATATGGAGAGTCTGTTATTTGCAGTTTGAGCTTACCAGTTGTAACCAGAACAGAAACCACAATATTATTTATTATAAATAGGAGCTACAGACAGTTGATAAATGAAAGGAAGAACCTGAATAAATGAGTGGTCTCTCCCATCCACAGGGCATGAGGGGTCACTGAATGGTTTGATGAGGATGAAATTGATGTGACTCACCAGATCTCAACCCAGTTGAACACCTTTGGGAGATTTTGGAGTGACGTGTTAGACAGTGTCTCTACCACCATCATCAAAACACCACATGAAGGAATATCTTTTGAAAGAATAGTGTTCATCCCTCCAGAGAGTCAATGCCAAGGTGCACTGAAGCTGCTCTGGTGGCATGTGGTGTCCCAGCACCTGACTGACACACTTTGTGTTGGGTACTCCTTTAATTTGTCATCAGTTTGTATGTCTGAGGTCAACATCAGGAGCTGATGTGGAATTCTTTGTTGCAGCTCCTTTCTCAGACAAGATCATTGTGTATAAATAAAATTCTGGCACATCCACCTTGAATGCACCACTAGGAAGTGCATGAAAGTTACAATTGATCTAATGTTTTTGTTGTATTTTTAGAAACACTGATTTGTGGTTATAATTAATCAGATAACACAGTAGAAATTGTTTTCTCACATGTGACCTTTCCTTCCTCCTGGCCTCTCCAGCGTCCTGGCATGCCATCTGGAGCAAGGATGCCCCACCAAGGAGCTCCCATGGGCCCCCCCGGCCCACCGTATGGAGGGAGCCCGGCGGTGCGGCCCGGCCTGCCCTCCCCAGTGATGGAGCCCAGTCGCAAGAGGCCTGCCCCCTCCCAGCAGGTCCAGCAGCAGCAGCAGCAGCGCCCTCTGTTTTTGTAGAGAAGAGAAAAGCTTACTGCACCTGGTATTCCAGTTTGAATTTAGCTGACCTCCAACTGCTACCGGAAAATCGCATGGCTTGCTTCCAAACAACAACACACTCAACCTGAGAAATCTGATTTTGCCCATATTTTATTTGAAATATGAAAGTGGGCTTGAATCATATCCTAGCATGGTAATAAGATCTGGTATCAAACAAAAATAGTTTTTTGGTAAAAACCAAACGGTGGGTATTAAAAACTGTTGGTCATCAAAGACTGGTCGTTAGTAATTGTTTGGTTACACAGTTCCTGATTTAAGTTATAATTTTCATCATTTTAGACATTTTTAAAGCTATATTTTTATTTGTGTTAAGACAACATTAAAAACAGTGGTTCTGAGAGGTTTGGTTTAGTGTGTTAAATAAAACAAGACTCAGGTGTTCTACTAGTATAATATTAGAAAATTTAAAGCTATAGCCCTGCTAATAAGATGTCTAGGTTATTTTGCAATAGTGCTGAAATGATTAAGAGGTTAATCATTTATTCAGTGGACATTAAATTAAGTGACAGCAGTTTTGATAAATAATTGATTATCAGTGTTAAAATGGATGTAAGCACTCTGTGAGACTGCACTTGCACAGACATGCTTTTAGCTAAATGCTAACATGCTCACAATGACAGCGTTAACATGTTGATGTTTAGCAGGTATAAAGTGTATCTTGTTCACCATCTTAGTTTAGTGTGGTAGCATGCTAATATTAGAACTAAACACAAAGTAAGTTTTATAGGTATTGGACAAAAATTTGACCTGATAATGGTGCAAGATGAAATGAGAAAAATAATGAGATATGTCAGTTTGTGCTAAAGGTAGGTAGCACCATGCCACTAGCAAGGATAAAAAATACTAAATAGTCACCAGCTCCAACTTCTTAATTTTGAAGATTTACTGTTTTAAATTGTTGTTAATATTGTTGATAATATGAATATTGTGGAGCTTTTTTAGCTGGGAATGAAACAAGATATGTAATGATGTGATCTTGAGCTATCTGAGGATCATAAATTTGTAAATATATAAAGTAATTGATTTTTAAGTAATTAAAAAAATGACCCTTAATTTGCAGTTTCATGTTATAAGAATATGCATATGTACTAAAGCTGTTTTCATAACTGAAATGTAATTTTTCAGAATCAGATCTCGAAAATGTTGTTGATGAGAAGTGAAGCCATGAATTTTGTGTCTCCTTTCAGCTTTCATATTGGTTTTTGTTCTCAGTTTTCAAGCTTGCTCATTGCCTCTCCCGCTGCTCCACTTTTGTGTGTTTGGCCTTGCTCACTACTCTGTGCACCCACTCTCACCATCCCGATCACTGGGTATTTCTTCTCTGTTCAGTCTTTACACGTTTCAGTCTTTGTAGCCTGGTTTGCGCTGTCGCATCTATAGTATGTGCCCTCTACACAGCTGTCTGCAGACGTTCAGACTCTAATACTTTCTTTGGGATATTGTAACACAATCTATTGCCAGCTATTGAACTACCGTGAACAAAAGATCTGAACATCAGTATCCCAGTCACACAAACCCACACACACAATGGATGAATGTCTGTAAAGAGATGAGTGTGTGGCAGGTATGGTCATTAGAAAGGAGATCAATATGCATACTCAGTGGACTTCTGTCTCTGTTTCATTCTCTCAGTATCTGCAGCACAATTGATCCACAATTAAGCAGGCTTGTCGAACAGGTCAGGAGAAATGTTGTCCTGCATCAGGACCTCAACCCCCAGAGTGGCCTGCTTTGCTGTGCACGAGCTAATCGATGGTCCAGGGTGACCCGTCTAAGTGTCTCTGTCGCTTTCTGTTGCTTTGTGAGAGTGTACGTCCTCTGGCAAACAAATTGATGCTCCAGCTCAAACTCCATGCTGCTGTCAACTGAGGGTGGGCCACCTGCGTTTGCGTTGTCATTGAGACCTTATGGGCCCAGACACGCTCGCTCTGCAGAGCAAAGCTGCCATGAAAAATAGGGTTTAATTCTGGTTTGCTTTGCATAAATACTCAGCCGATTGTTCTAAACATTGTTTATATACCATAAATTTGTTTTCCCAAATGCATTTTCCAGGGAAGCATAATTGCTGCCTGTACTACATTTACATACTGTACCACATGTAACTCATAGGCAGGGTAGTTTGGATGAATGGTGGAAACAAGACATTGATATTAGAGACCAAGGTTATTTCCCTGAATCCCATGTGTGATTTCACAACTTGGAAAATGTGTAGACTTTAATGTAGGTTTTACCTGATTTCCAGGTTTGTCTCTTATCAGGAAACAGGAGCTCTCAAAAGCGTTTTAAGAGTTACAAGGGGCACCCCAAAAGCTGAGTGGTCTTGGTAGGTGCCACTACTGATGCACACTGTATGTGTAGTATGGACAAAGTGTGTGACATCCTTAAACCCTTCCTCACTGCTCAGGACACTTCAGGTTTCTCATTGCTAGGTTTAGCGTGTTAAATAAAACAAGACTCAAATTCCTTGTGTGTAACATACTTGGCCAATAAAGGTGATTATCCTTATCCTTATCCTTAGGTTTACGTGGTGATGAACCAGGTTTCTTGATGCTAGATCAGCAGGTTTTGTTGTCCCACCCATTGCACATTGCATACCATGTTTGCAATTCAGAGCCATCCTGAGCTGAACCAAAGAGCTAAACATTCACACTGTTTGTCCACTCCCTTCCCTGTGATTCACAGAGTGTCCATTGTCAGTGTATTGTCTGTCTGTGTGTGTGAAGCATGACTGTTTTGGTTCACAGAGAAACTTTGTTGAACAACCGTGTCCTTCAGATGAGCAGGGCTCCTTCCGTTGTCCTCCGTCCATGCACTTTGTGCGTGCATGGACACAGTTACACGCCCATCCCAGTGCCTGCCCTTGTCTGAGTTTTAAAGTTTGCACTGAGTAACAGACCCTTGAACCTAACACACATACAAACATACAAACAGGTGTTACCCCCTCTACTTGCTGCCACTGAGTGTGTGTCTCGCCACAACTCTAATCAGACAACCTTCGAATCCTCACCAATTCTTAGGAAGCCAGTTGGATTCCCTGGAGCCAGTGAGATGCCAGCGAGGCAGATGGACATGAGAGAGCCCCAATCAGATCCCACGCTCGGATCAAAGTAGGAGTTTATTCTGCTGCATGTCTGTTTACTTATGTTTGATGAACTCTGGCCTATGTAGCCTTTCACCTGAGCCCAGCGCTCCCTGAATGAGCTATTTTGGCCAAACATAACATACAACCCTAAACTGACTCCTAAAGTGTGCATGCTTTGGACTGGAGCATGGCATGATGGAAACATTGTAACATAAAATCAAGTAGAATCCCCAAAACTCTATTTTAAATTAGTGGCAGATTGTTGTGATGCAGGTTTGTGTTTTCCTTTGCGATGCACAAGTTTGTTTCATTATTTGGCATGCTGATGTACATTAATGTACTGCTTCACAATCCTGTGATAGGAAATTTATCTGCACTGGGAAAAAACCCTATTTTAAACTGGAAATCAAGAAAAATATTGCTAATATCAAATACAACAAAACAGTCTAATGTAATGTAGAAAAAATAAACTTTAAGATGTGGTATCTATCCCTGTAGTTGCTCCCTCCAGCTTTGTCAATTGTTTAATCTAGACCTTGATGACTTTGACTTGGGTAACAGGGACATGACTCGGCACAGATTATTCTTTGGTGGCTCAGACTTGGCTCGGACTCGAACACTGGGAACTCGAGAATAGACTCAGACTCGAGATTTAGTGACCCAAATACAACACTGGAGTTAGACAAGAAGCTCAATTCCATAAAATGTGAAGCTACAGCTACCTGCCATTTAGCTTAGCTTAGCATAAAGGCTGGAAGCAGGAGGAACAGAAACACTCAGTTACAGCTAATTCAGATTTGTCTGCAACTGTTCGCAGGCATCGACGCATACCTACACAATGAAGGGGTTTATGGGTAAACATAGATCAGTGATAGTTACAGATGGTCCGACATGCACTTCTCTCAAATCTCACCTGCGCGTTCGGTTGATCCAACTCCACTCTGACCAAGATGTAGCTGCCTGCTATTAGTCTGCTAGCAGGTACTCACATCTCTGAAAACTCTGGAGCAAATTGGCATTACTTGGCTAGTCTGACCATCTATTCTCATTCTAAATGGTTACCTGTTCACCTGGTAAAAAAAAATCAACACTTATGTGCAGTGATGCAGAAGTCTAAAAAGAACTTTACTGCTCCCAGCCAAGAAATAATCCATCTCACACTCTAACTCCTCTCAAAGATTTTGACCCCTTGTTTTGTGTTTGGATTAATCAAACAAGATTTAATATGTTAATAAGAGAGCTTTAAAGGTGCTAGTATTTTGTTACCTTTGGGTGGTTTAGCGCCATCTAGTTGTGTCCTGCTGCAGGAACCAACAACAGAACACTTACATGAATTTACATGGATGTTCCACATATCACAGGCTTCCTCAGTTGTTGATGAAATATTGGAAGGGAATTTGTACAGATAAAAAAAAAACTGTAGTGTTCTGACAAAGGCTCCAGCTTGGCTTATTGCTCTCTCCTCAGTAACATAAGACAAAAAAGTATCACTAAACAAGTGTTGTTCTCACACAGCAGGACACGCCTCATGAGATTTATGAATGGAAATGTCCACACATGCATACATTCTCCTTGGTGAAAATCTTGAAGATTCTGCATCCATAAAAGCTCTTGAACACACCTCCTGTCACCATGTGAGTTCTGCTGCAGTGGACCCAGTGACTCTGCAGAGTGCGTGTGTGTGTGTGTGTGTGCGTGAGTGCAGTGACTACATGTCAGGCAAGAGATGGATGATGTGACACTTTTTTGGCTCTTAGCGGGTCTCGCTCTCCAGGTGGACAACTGCATTTCAGAGAACATACAAAGACATGAGCACATACACACACATAAGCACACACACACACACACACACACACACACACACACAGCTGGGACGCTGGGGTGCTGGATATGGCCCAGCATTTTAGCAGATGGCCTGGGTGCTACGCTATCAGTCACCATAGTAACATGCTCTCTTTTTCCTCTTTCTCTCTGTCTTTCTCTCCCTCTCTCTAGTGCTAAGAGAAGGAAAATGGCAGACAAGATCCTTCCGCAAAGGGTGAGGCTGCATATTTTTACCTTTGTTGCTCTGTTTTTTCTTTGTTTGTGTGTGTGTGTGTGTGTGTGTGTGTTATTGTCTTTTGTGTACAGAACAGAAATATTCTGGTTGGTTTTTGATGTTGGGGGTCTTGGAAGGGGCAGATGATTATGTGCTATTTCCAAATGAGAAGAGAGCGCATGAGGGGAGTGTGCAGGGGGTTTTAGGTTTTATTTTAGGGTTTCATTTTGTTATTTGGATGGTGGCTCACTGAATTAAATTGGAATAGTCAGCGGAATATGGCAAGGACACAACCAAATGTGGAACCAAAATAGGCGGCAGACTCACCATGTTGCCACAGGTGAGCTTGTCTGAGGTTGTGATTTTCATCCCGTGGTCTCAGGTTTCGGCCCTGTGCCATGCCGGCACCTCACCACGTCCTGGCCAGCACAGTGAAGGCGTTCACACTGAAACTGTGGAGGTCTGGAGACTGTGAGCGTCTGGGCTCAGGTCTTATCCCATAACATAGCCCAGACAGGGAGATAGCAATAAGCATGGCTGGGGCGCCACTCCACAATAATGAGTCAGGGACAGGGAATGTCCTCACTCTTTGGTGAAAGGCAGTGAGAGGGAGATAGAGGAGGAATGAGGGGAAACAATGAAGGCAGCCATTTAGAAAGAAACATGAAAGAAGAAGGAGGGAGGCAGGAGGAGTGAACCATAGGTGTGTGTGTGTGTGTGTGTGTGTGTGTGTGTACAGTAAGTCTGCAGCAGCCCCTGATGCTCTGAGGACTTTCATTGGTATGGTAATGTCTGAGTCCTGGTTGGCTGCACACTCTGCATTTCATATTTATCCCCCAGTGTCCCCAGGATGGTGTGGACCACTGTATTAGTGATGGCCTGGGCAAATATATTTCTACTTATGTCATCTGCTTACAGTATAATTAAAAGACTAATAAGATTTTGGAGAGTCAGTCATATTTACTGTATTAATTTAAATCTTAGTAAAATGATTACTTTGATAAGGTCTGCCTGTATTTATTTGTATTCTTATCTTTACTATCAGTTGTGTTATCTTTATCCCAGAACCAGTAAGGTCTGAAACATTAGCATTATTAACATTATGTGAGTCTTTTCTCGTTTGTTATAGGTGACAGCAATTTTAAGAGAGTCTATTTTAAAGTAACTATAATTAACTTTTTGTTCAAAGGCCAGATACTGACAGAGTGGAATAAGATGATTTTCCAACTTTAGCTACTTAGAGGGTAAATTACAAGAAATTTTATGTAAGGGGCTACAAGGTGTTCTTGAAACAAGATAACAGACCCCCTACCATCACCAAGGTAGTGCAGACAGCTAATCTGCTCAGGCCTTTAAATGATATTCAGATAGTGCATAAGATAATTTGACTTCCTAAACCAGTGTTTGCAGTTGTTTAATCAAAAGACCCATTTTTTTCAACTTCATTTATTAACTTCAGTGTGCCAAATATGATTTGTTATTACCTATGGAAAGTTTTGTTCCACAACAAAAATAAAAATTAAAAACAAACCTTATCACCTCATCTAACGAGCACCCTAGTGTACACTCAAAGTTTACAGAATAGAAAGAGGAAGGTTAGTATAGAGTTGTAATTTTGAATAATATTATTGTAAACGGCAGGCTCATAACACAACAGCTGGTTTAGGGGCTAAACAAAGGCTTATCACACCTTGACAAATGTTCATGTTGACTCTGCAAGCTAAATATAATCTTCTTGACCAGTCTTCATCCATAATCCCTAAATTCAGGTCATACTGCCATGCCTGCTTAAGAGCATTAACATTTGCAGTTTGAGCTGTGGGAATTAAGTAATCAGCAGGTTGTTGTGAAAGGACTGAGTGAAAATGGCTCATATTGTTAGACTGATTTGTACATCAGATTGTTCTCTCTTCTCTGAGCAGATTCGTGAGTTGGTCCCTGAGTCTCAGGCCTACATGGATCTTCTGGCATTTGAGCGCAAACTGGATCAGACCATCATGCGTAAACGTGTGGACATCCAGGAAGCACTGAAGAGACCAATGAAGGTAAGAAAAAGGAATCATGAGCCACAAGGAGGCACTGCTGACCCCCAGGTATCCATCTAAAACACCATGAATCTGTTTTTGAAAATTAAATAAAAATATTGATAGTCTGTGAAGATTCTTATTCATTCAGGTTGGTATAACACAGTTCAAGGTTCTGTGAAATATTCCTTTAAACTGTGCTTAACATGCCCTTGTGTCAGCAGCAAAAACGTAAACTGAGGCTTTACATATCCAACACCTTCAACCCTGCCCGACCTGACGCTGATGACTCTGATGGCAGCATTGCATCATGGGAGCTGCGAGTAGAGGGGAAGTTGCTAGATGATGTGAGTTTTTTGTTACATAGCCCATGTTTTATCTGTTATTTTATGTGCTCTTAAGAAAATACACAGAATCTGTGTTACATATGCTATTTAAACACAAAAAATATGGTTTCTGTGATAATTATCTGCTTAGGAATGTAGCTGATTACTTCAGTGTCAAATAGCTGCTTGTTCTTAAAAAATAACGGAGATTATAATCATCTCATTTAGTTTTAAAGCATGCCACTCTTTGATTCTAGAGCTGATCTGGGTCATTTTTGGCCCACTGTCATTAAGCAGTGATGTGATAGGGTTAGGGTTAGGCCCACTGTCATTAAGCAGTGATGTGATCAAATGACTCTAAACAGAAAAGCATTTTAAATGAATGATTGATGCGAAGAGTGTTTAGAGAGAGACAGTTTGAAAAGCAGAATGGGCGTACATTTGTTTCTGCTCTGTGAGCTTTGCTTCAAAACGCTCTGATGTTCTCAGCTGTTCAGAGAAAGGAAGCGTTTAGGTCTCATAAACCACAAATATTTCTAGTTGAGCTTGAAGGAAGTGGAGCCTGAGAATGTCTAATGCCTGCCTTTCCTACTGATCTCACTCGGCCTCTTGTGGGTTTCTGATGACTAATGTTGCTATAAGCAAAGACATGAAACTAAGTGTTTGCACTTGTGTTCTTGCTTTTATGTGTTTGGTATGCACTATTGATGCATGTGTTTGTGTGTGTATCTGATTTTAACATTAGCTGTCTATGTCTGCTTCTATCTGTCTGTTTGTTCTGCAGCCAGGGAAGCAGAAGAAGAAATTCTCTTCATTTTTTAAGAGCCTGGTGATCGAGCTGGACAAAGACCTGTATGGCCCTGACAACCACCTGGTCGAGGTCAGTTCAAACATGGCCACTGCATCATGTGCACAGTGGAAGACGCTCATTTTAAGAGCCACACACCCACCATCTGGGCAACTTTTAACCTGCTCTTACTAACTAACATTTTAGCTCTTATTATGATGATCACTGTTTTCAGTATCAACATGCTCTGACTCATTTTTGCTACAGAATAATTTGACCTGAAACTACTGTATGACTATGAGGGTAAAACCCAGACATTCATCTTTAAAGCAACCTAACGAAAACCTAAAATACATCCTTTAAATAACATACTCAACCTTGTAAGCCTAAACGATGACCAAGCTTGTGGCTTGCATCTTTGCAGCTACAGTATTGTATTCAGTAAGTAGTAAGTATTCAGATCCCTTAGTTAAGGGAGAACCAATACAACAATGTGTTCCATTACTCTATTACAAGTTAAAAAAAATTAATGTAAAATATTTTTTCTTAAGTATAACTACATCTGTCAAGTAAATATAACTGAGTGAAAAGTGCCATATAGTAAAAACTACCTAGTGACATTCTACCACAGAGGGGAAAGGTGAAATTTACAAACATGTGGTGTGGCAAAATGTGAGCAGGACCGGAAGGATTCATGTGGTGAGGCAAAATGTGAGCAGGACCGGAAGGATGTGGGCTGGGGTGTAAACATTAGCTGCAGGCTTTAGCATTAGCTAGCAGGCTAACAACCGCACTTCACAAAGATGCAGTTTATGCAGCTTCTTATCAAGCATTTTACTGTCATGAACATTTGTCACTCTCCTTAGACTCACTACAGCCAAACATCATCCTTTCTTTTCTGCTGCTTGTATTACATTTCTTTGCAGTGATAAATCAAGAATGTAATAAATCAGAATTTTGTGAATGAGGTCAGTCCATACTGCTTCTAAAACTGGCCTCTTGATTTCATACAAGTTCAAACACAAGGCACATGCATTCTCTTTGTCTGACGGCAGCGTACGAGAAAGTCTAATCAAGCACCGTGTGTTAAAAACAGCTGTGTGGGTGGGCTAGGGGCTTTAATGGAGATGAGTCAATATGTCTGCCATGAATAGGTTCGGTTGAGGCTGAAACCCACCACAAATTAAACATATAAATGTAATGTGTATGTTTGTAAGAATAAGAGGTGTTGGTAAGTGATTTGTTTTAACCTTTGAACCGATTTCCACCCATTTCCAGTCTTTATGCTAAGCTAGGCTAACCAGCAGCTGGCTATAGCCTATTTGTCGTACAAAGAGAGCAGTATCAATCTTCTCAGCTAATTCTCAGTAAGAACGCACCCAAAATGTCATATTGTTCTTTCACAAACTGCACTGCAGCTTCAGTGTTAGCCCCTTTTGGGCAACATCTGAACAACTCACCTGGTTACTAATAAAGGGCTTTTGTATGCTGCACAAATCAGTGAATGTGATTGTTCAGTCATGCAGTCGGGGTCAGTGACAACTCGTCATCATGTAGAGGAGAGACGTTCACTTAAAATAGTTATTTTGTGATATCTGGTTAAAACATGAGCTACAATCCTCCCAACTAACCTGCTTCTTTTTATCTGGATAAATAAAAAATAAAACATTTGTAGGTAGTGGAATGCCCTCTCTCTTGTTCTCTCTTTTTAAAATACAGTTATTTTCTATAACAACAAAAGGAGAGGGTTTTTTTTTTACAGTTTGAACATTGCAAGATTTCAACCACTAGCTGCCCTTCCCTTTGTATTATCATAAAATGTATGAACTTTAAAAAAAAAAAACTTTGGGAGTTTGAGAGTGAAAATTATGACTTGTCAAGGTTCTGCCTTTAAGAGGGTATTTTAGCAAGGCACTCTGGTGTTTTGCTTGGAATGATTTTCCATCAAAAGAAAATTTTCTCTACCTTGAAGTACAATCAGTGCTGTTCTGAGTCAGACGTTGGATGAAGGAAATCATGGTTCTGTATTACAAGTTAATGCAATCCATTGTACTGAAGATGGTATTTACAGGATGTGTGAATTATGTTTCTTAGTTTTTGAGCAGCTAAGGTAAACTGGAGATGTAAATAACATCTGCAGTTAGAAACACAGGAGGGTCTGATTTACATTATACAACAAAACTGAGTACGTCCTGCACAACATTATTAAAATATAAAATGATGCAAAATTGTGGCATCTTACAATAATTGTATTAGATTTACTTGACTTGAAGTGTAGGGAGATTTATAACATGTAAACAGCACAGCTTTCTTGGTTTCACCTGGGTTTTGTCTAATACATCATGGCTCCACATGTTAAGGACCTGCCCAAACAAGTACATAACCACACTGTGAGACTTAATAAAGATGGGAGAGGGTATGAGAGCATCAGTAGGTGACTGAACATAAGAAGAAACACAGTTATATCTTATATCGGGCATGAAGGATAAGGATAAAGAAAGAGCCATACTACCAAATACATAGTGGTCATCCTCAAGAAAATGTTAAATTAACTAAGATTAACTGTGGAACAGTGTGAAATGACCATTCTTGGTGAATAAACTAAGTTTCTGTAGTCAGCATGTGGTGTTTGATCTCCAGTGGCACCGTACGCCCACCACCCAGGAGACAGATGGCTTCCAGGTGAAGAGGCCAGGAGATGTGAGTGTGCGCTGCACTCTGCTGCTGATGCTAGACTACCAGGTAAGGGTGCCACATAGTCTCACAACAACTCGCAGCTCTGTCCAGAAATAGACTTTCCTCTGTTACAACTGTGACTAACCCGTGCCGTGAAATCAGCTGTTGTAGTGACAAACTGCAGGCCTCACATCTCTGATAACACAGCTGTACAGACACACTCCAGTGCATTTAAGACTCCATTTTGAACCTGAAATCAGTTTCCAAACCGGGGAATACGATAAGGATGTCAGATATGATGGAGCTGGTGTAAAGGCTCTGAGGTGGGCGGTTGTAAAATAGTGCTATAATGTGATTATATTGTCTCTGCAGCCTCCCCAGTTTAAGCTGGACCCTCGCCTGGCTCGCCTGCTTGGCATTCACACTCAGACTCGCTCCTGCATCATCCAGGCCCTCTGGCAGTATGTCAAAACCAACAAGCTGCAAGACTCCCATGACAAGGAGTACATCAACTGTGACAAGTACTTCCAACAGGTATCAGACACTATGTGCTACAAATCACATTGTTGCATAAATATTAGTGTCAGTGTTGCTTGAAATATGTTTGTTTTTTTTACAAGCATGAGCAGTATGAAAAATACCTGTCTCAGAATACTGACCACTGCAGTTTGCAAATGATATAAGATACATGCTCCACTTAATCATCTACAACCGCATCTGAACCTGACCCGGACCTGACAAGCTTATAATATATAATGAACCTGACTCGAGCCCAGTGCAGTTGGGTCTGTGTGTTGTTTTTCCCCTTATCATTAAACGAAGCAGACATTTGAGTGCATCCAACCTTTTAGGCAAATCCAACAAAAGAGAACAATTTGATATTTTGTGTATGAGTATATTGTGGCTCAAACTTTAAAGGTCATTTTCTTATTCATATTATTTTCACTCTCCGTTACAGATTTTTGACTGCTCTCGACTGAAGTTTTCTGAGATTCCCCAGCGTCTCACTAACCTCCTCTTACCTCCTGACCCCATCGTCATCAACCATGTCATCAGGTAGATTCCTGTTTCACTGAATATGAGCCTTACCTAACAAGTTTTGTATTTTATGCTTTTTAATTAATTTTAATATGAAACATAAAATAGAATATAAAATTAAATACACCAATGCTGCAACATTGCTGCAAGTTCCCCTCTCTGCATTATTATTCTCATCTCTCTTGTTTTCTCTGCATTGTTTTTTGTGCTTCCTCTACCTGTAAGTGTGGACCCCAATGACCAGAAGAAGACGGCCTGCTACGACATCGATGTGGAGGTGGAAGACCCCCTGAAGAGCCAGATGAGCAGCTTCCTCCTCTCCACCGCCAACCAGCAGGAAATTGCCTCACTCGACAACAAGGTGAGATCACTAAAATCACAGAATACACACTCCGAATTGATTGTATTTTGCTCTGATGATGCTGTATAACAGAGGTTATCAGTAAACTGCCTCATGCAAACAACCAATTTTATTGCATGTGTTTTTAACAGCAGGTGTTGCTTTATTGCAGCAGTTTAAATGTGGGAGCTACTGTATCAGTGTTTGAGTGTGATTTATGTCAAACTGACATTTTTGTGATGCTGAATTTCTTTATTTGTACACCCTTTTGTTTGGTTTTTTTTACACTGATGGTTCAGCTGTTTTACAGTTAGTTATACCAGTTCCTGTACAATACTGTTTAAAAAAACATCACATTTACCTAAACCCATCCATCCATCCATCCATTTTCCTCCGCTTATCCGGGACCGGGTCGCGGGGGCAGCAGTCTAAGCAAAGATGCCCAGACTTCCCTCTCTCCAGACACTTCCTCCAGCTCCTC